ATGCTATTCTCAAATTTTTGGGCCATTTTCTCCGTTTTCGTGGTGGATTTTTCTAGGCCAGCAATTTTCTCTTCTACGTCTCAGATTCTATTTTCTGTATGATCTAATCTGCTTTTAATACTTTCAAGGGAGATTTTGACTTCCTGTATTATAGACTTCATTTCTAACAGTTCCGTTTGACTCTTTTGTAAAGCGTGTAATTCCTCTCTTAGATCTTGCAAGAATTTCCTCACCTCCTGGAACTCATCAACTTCTTTCTCCTTTCTCTTTAGGAGTTCGTTGTCTCTCTTCTCTTCCATCTCAGTTAGCTTCGCCATTATGAATACTCTAAATTCTTTATCAGACATTTCCATGATATGCAATTGAACTGCTTGTGGATGAAGAGGAGTTATTCTTTTCCCTTGGAGGAGAGAAATTCTCTTGTTTTCCTCTATTTCTTGTGGTCCTGCAGTGATTTCTTGTCATCTGATGGATGGTGTGTTTCTTTTGAATTCTTGAAGTTCAATCTGAGTCAGGAGTAAGCAGAAAGAGGTGATCTGGAATCTCTTTGCCGTTCTGTTGTGATCGCTTTGTGCAGTAGATTCAGTAGGTATTGAAGAATATGTTAACCCTAATAGTATTTCGATATTTAGCTACAGTGCCCTTAGATCCATCACGCTAGCTTTGTTTGCTGGAGGCTGAATTATCAGTAGAAAGTCTTCATTTCTCCTGTCCCCTGAAATGACTAGTTTCCAGGAGCCATGAGGAATCTAATTCTCAGATCTATACACTAATTGCAAGTCTAGGAATGTTTTCCAAATTTCACATTTATTTGATATTTTAATGTCAAAGAACTGGACAGAAATAGGGACCAGCAGATAGCATAATGGTTACATTGCTGGACTCCCATGTAGTAGGAGTTTGAGTCCGGGACCTGGTGGCTTTAAACTCATGCCAGGTGTGTATGCGTGCATGCCCAAAATCCTAAGAGAAGAATGGAGGAGAAGGGGTTGTGGTGTCCATCTCCCCTGGGGGGGTGACTTCTTACTTTCTGTTTCTCTATTTCTCTCTTTCTCTCTGGCGAATGCACATACCCTATAGCAAAAATCTTTCTCAAAAAAAAGATCTGGACAGAAATAGAAGGTAGGAAGAAGTCTGAATTTATTCATTCGGGCATTGGTGTCAGAATCTTATCTGGTATCTCTCGGACAAGATGTTCTTCCACTCCTCAAATGAACTCTGGACTCCTGAGAGTCACTGCTTTGTTATTCTGGCCTTGCCCAGGTGTAAAATTGTTTACTATCTGTTCAACAACAGTGAAATAAATTCACGGTCACACATGAGAACTAATTAATACTTACAAAATTCTTTGAGAGCCGTGATGAAAGGGGCTATTTAAGTGCAGGGTATCATCTGCTAATAACGGCATGCACTAAACAGACCGGATTCTTCTGGAGAATAAACTGTGTCCTGGAAACAAAGTCAGTAATTTTGCGAGATGCATTACAATTACATATTTTAGGTGAAAAGCAATAATTACAGCTAATTCTTCAGGAGCTAGTCCTTCTGTTTCTAGAATTATCTTAACAGCTCACATCTTTGGACCCTGTAGATCTCTTACAGAATATCAACATCTGCATCACAGATCATAGGCGGGGGGTGGGGGGTGGGGGGACTGGAAAGGTCACCCAGTCGTTTTCTCATTGATGTCCCCCATGAGGTCTATGCGATGGCCATGTGCTGTGTCTGCCATCTCCAGCAGAGAAGCCCCTGCTCCCAACTGCGCTCACTCTCTTGTGTGAATACAACTTTAAGATCCTCTTTATAGCATCTCTGTCAGCCAGGGTAACTTTTAGGTTTCTGCTATTGTAAATTGCTTATTCTCATCCTTGGTATGCTTCCTCCTTTCTTCCCATATTTTTTCTACATCCTGTTAAGGCAGGAGAAAGCTAGCAACTGAAAGTGGTTAAGGGGGCTGAAGCATCTGCCTACGTGGCTAGATAGAAAAACCCAATCAGGGGGCCAGCAGATGGCATAATGGTTATGTTGCTGGACTCCCACATAGTCAACCACAGTTGAAGTCCCGGACCAGGCAGCCTAAAACTCATGCCAGGCACATGTGTACCCAAAATCCCAAAAGGAGACTGGAGGAGGAAGGATTGCAACATGGTCATCCCCCTGAGGTGTGATTTCTTACTTTCTGTCTCTGTCGCTCTGGTGAGCACATGGCACCCTATAGTGAAAATCTCTCAAAAAAAAAAAAAAAAAGAAAAAGAAAGAAAGAAGAATCCAATCAGGTCAGAAAATTTTCCACCCAAGGTAATGTAGGCAGATCAGTAGGGGATGTCAGGCTGATTAAGCCACATTTGACATAGCCGATGAGTCGAGTCAGTGGGCCCAGCCACATTTGGTAGAACCATTGAAATGAGGGCAATCAGGAGCCCAGCCAATGACTGACCACCACAACCTAGATTAAAAAGTTATAAACCTCATAGAATGTAACTCTTTGGACCTTTGAGCCACTCTGTCTGCTCAGGCCTGCTCTCTCAGGAGTTACTTTCACTTTTACTAATAAACTACATTTTCTTTTCACTATTGATGTGTTTTGTTCAATTTTTTTGTCCCAAACATTAAGAACCTAGATATTATCACAGAAGCCATCCCTCAACACTTTTAAAATCTGATCCCACTGCAAAACTCCACATTTTCTGCGATAATAACTTAAACATTTTTGTGCAAATATGTATATGCTCATCCAACGGTGTTTTGTCCACCCTCCCAATGATTTGCCTTAAAAATTGAAAAATAAGCCTAGGGACAGCTGGTGGTGTGGTGGTTAAGGTGGCTAGATCCTACATGGCCAACTACGTGTTTTGAGTCTTGGACTCAGTGGCTTGAAAAACATGGCAGGCACATGCATGTGTGCCCAACTCCCAAGAAAATGAAGGAGAAGGGATCATGGCATGACCATCCCCTATGGAGGGTGATTTCTCATTTTCCCTTTCTCTCTGGCAAGTGCCTGTGTCCTCCAGCAAATAAAAAAAAAAAAAAAAAAAAAAAAAAGACAGACAAACCTGGCATGTCTATAGGGTTATATTGATTCATACATGTTCTCAAGAGATTCAACTCGCCACTGAGTGTCAGGCTACAGGGATCCTCTTCTGATCAACAGCCCACGATACAGTATCAGTCCTTGGCTCAGCCAGTAACGAACTACTAGTGCCAGCACATGCACCTGTTGGCAGGCAGTAATGCCGGCATTCGGGGCTGCTCCCTGTGCAGGCCTCAGCTCTCCCTGCCCAGTTGGTCCTGTGGATGCCCACTGGCTCTGAGGGGAAGGGATAAAGTGAGGCCGGCTCAGCACCTTCACAGCACGGCACCTGGGAAACCAAATCGCTGAGGACACACCTCAGGCAGCAGCTCTGACCGGGAGAAAAGACAGACAGGAGCTTCAAGAAACAGGGCCTTCTTGGGACTAGCAGGTGGCGTGGTTGGTAAAGTGTTGGATACTCTCACATGGCTGACCATGGTTTGAGTCCCAGACCTGGTGGCTTGCTTTCTTGCTTTCCTTCTCTCTGTGTGTCTCTCTCTTGTCAAATTAAAATATATTAATGAATGAATGAAATTAAAAATAAATAATTCTTAAAGAAAAAGGTCAAATTTCCTGGCTACAAGTGTTGTTTTTGTTTGTTTGTTTGTTTGTTTGTTTGTTCTTAAAAAAAAGGGAACCAGCAGTTAGCGTAATGGCTATGTCGCTGGACTCCCACGTAGTTGACTACAGTTCACGTCCTGGACCCAGTGGCTTAAAACTCACGCTGGGCGCGTGTGCGTACGTGCCCAAGATCCCAAGAGGAGAATGGAGGAGAAGGGCTTGCGGCGTGACCATCCCCCCTGGGGGGGGTGATTTCTCGCTTTCTGTCTCTCTGTCTCTCTCTGTCTGGCGAGCGCACGCGCCCTAAAAAAAACCCAAAAAAAAAAAAAAAAAAAAAAAAAAAGAAAGAAAGAAAGAAAGAAAGGGCTCCCATGTAGTAGACCACGGTTCGTGTCCAGGACCTGGTGGCTTAAAACTCATGCTGGGCGCATGTGTGTGCGTTACCAAGATCCTGAGAGGAGAATGGAGGAGAAGGGATTGAGGCGTGGCCATCCTCCCTCGGGGGGTGATTTCTAGCTTTCTGTCTCTCTGTCTCTCTCTGTCTGTTTGGCAAGTGCACGTGCCCTATAGCAAAAACCTCTAAAAAGAAAGAAACAAACAAACAAGCAGGGCCTTCTGGAATGGGAAACAGGGAGACTAAAGTGCAAAGCCAAAGGAGAGAGACATTCAGAAAGCACTCAAGGAGCTCTCTGAACAGGCTCTTCCTGTACTTGAACTCTCCATGTGGACTGTTGATGTGCTTAGAAGAGAGTTTTTTTGTAAACCCTCAGGTCTACGAGCACATGCTTGGATGGGGCGGTGTGCAGGCGAGTGTGCATGTGTGTGCGTGCATTAAGGTGCTGCCTATAGGGCAGGGCGGGCGCATATTCTCCCTTGGTTCAGATGTTCAGTGACGGGGAGGCAGGTGGGGCTGCAGTAGGGAATGTACCTGATCTTAAGGGATCTTACCCTAAAAGCACGCTCTGGGGATCTCACTCAGAGTTCAGAGGTAACAGAAGTGTGTGTGTGTGTGTGTGTGTGTGTGTGTGTGTGTGTGCGCGCGTGGTGGGGGGCTGTATTTGCCTACAGTGTGAGTTTGACACACATGAAAATATACGCCCAAATGTTTACCTTCTAGAATTTCACAGCGCAATTTAAGAAGCTGGTTCTAACAACGTGGCAATAAAACATCAACTGTTTGAACTACAGTCTGGTCTCGCAGCAGCCATGGGATAGCGGTTTATCTCAGGGCCTTGGCAGCTACAGCTACAACAAGGAAGTGCTAGAAGGAGGAACCATCCTTCTATCTGGAAGACAAAAGCTTCCAGGCCACAGAGAATATTTCTTCTTACTCAAACATGACAAAGTCTCATGAATGCTAGCTTCTGGGCATGGGCCGTGGAATTCCACAGACCCAAATTCTCCTGATGTGAGATCTTCACTTGGGGACCTCCACTCCCAGAGGTTTTCACTGCAAATTTATCTGGAGAGAGGGGGGTTCCGACAGGCAAACAGCCGAGTTGAGCTCTTGAGACTACAGCATTTCACAGAAAAAGTGTGGAGCCAGTGAGGAATCTCACCTTCCCTGAAACCAGTCCTTTTTTTCTACATTTAACAAAAGAGCCAACTCTCCAAAAAGATTATTTTCATAATAGTCAGGTATTTAGCTATAATGTTCACATACATATTCAGTAGATGTTTGGCAATAACAAGTTTTATTTTCTTTTTAAGTTTTTTTTTCTTTTTAAGATTTTTGCTGTAGCATGAATACACTCACCAGGGAGACACTGAGAGAGACAGAGAGGGAAAGTGAGAAATCACACCCCCAGGTGGGGGGATGGCCATACCGCAGGCCATTCTCCATTTGTCCTCTCAAGATTTTGGACACATGTTCACACATATCCAGCATGTTTTTCAAGCTGCTGGGTCTGGGACCCTGTGCAGTCAGCTGCTTTAACCCACCATGCCACTGGCTGGCCCTCCAATAACAAGTGTTTTATTTGTTTGTTTGTTTGTTTTTGGAGAGGTTTTCTCTATAGGGCGCGTGCACTCGCCAGACAGACAGAGAGAGATAGAAAGACAGAAAGCGAGAAATCAACCCCCAAGGGGGATGGTCATGCTGCAATCCCTTCTCCTCCACTCTCCTCTTGGGATCTTGGGCACAAACGCACACACACCCAGCGTGAGTATTAAGCCACTGGGTACAGGACGTGAACCACGGTCGACTACATGGGAGTCTAGTGACATAGCCATTACGTTAACTGCTGGTTCCCTCCAATAACAAGTTTTAAGAGAGTTCTTTCAGGGCTGGCAGGTGGCATGGTGGTTAAGGTATGCTGGACTCCCACGTGGCTGACCACGGGTTCAGGTCCTGGTCCTGGCAGCTTGTTTCTTCATTCTCTCTCTCTCTCTCTCTGGTCAAATTAAAATAATAATGATGATGATGAATAAAATAATTCTAAAAAAAACAGAGTTCTTTCAAAAATAGAAATTCAGGCAAATGCACCCAACTAGGAGGCACCCTTCTCAACTTAACTCAAAAATCAATATATTTTGAGGAAAGCAATTTTACTTTTTTACTCAGAAAATTATTTTAAATAATTGATATAGTCTCCAGTGAATCTGAGATCCCTCACTAACAAAACGGTCCAAGAAAGAGAAAGTGATGCTTCAAGTTGGCAAAGTTACTGCCCAACCCACAGCAGAGGCTGTGTCAGAAGGCGTGGCTCTCTTTTCTAAGTCCCCACATCACCCACTATGTCTTTGCCACGACACTTCCATTATGATGAGGGTTCCCGTGCCTGATTACCCTACCTCCACTGGAAAGGTCTGGAAGGAGGGACCGGCATTCTTCATCCTTTGACTACCCCAGAACCCAGCCCAATGTCTTAGAGAAAGTAGGAGTTCTATGATGTTCTGATGAGGGTGTGGGAAAAAGTGTTAGACAAGGGTAGGTGGGCAGGTTATTTGGGGCTTCGTAACTAGGCAGCAGAGCCTGGACTTGACGCAACACAGGCCAGAGGAGCTACTTAAGGTTTTTAAGCAGAGGGTTACATGAACCAAAAAACTGTGCTTAAGTCCATTAATGAGGCACCAGAGTGGGATCCAGTGGACATTGTGGCCAAAGGTCATAAAGACAGAGCCCAGAGGCCAATCTCAATTGTTGAGAAAGTAAAGTAGAACCGGTGACACTTCCAAGGGTCAGAGCTGGCTCTAGTTCAGACGAGGTGACTGGAAGAGGCGCCCTCCTCAGAGACACTGGCATGGCGATGTGGGCTCGGGGGGTGGTGCAGCTTCCTGTGGTCTTGTTGAATTTGAGCAGCCCTTCCTCCCGGATTGGGATGCCCACATGAAAATTTTAAGACAGAAGAGCAGTCCGTGGGAAAGATTCCAATCAGTAACCCTCCTCGCGGTGACTTACTTGAAAGAGAAGCTGTTTCTCCAGAAGAGCAGGGGAGAGCCCCAGGCTAGGCCCCCAAATCTGCTCACTGGGGTAGGGAACGTCAGCCCAGCTAAGGCACCTGGGACGATTCGCCCAAAGCTGCGGAAGCTGGGAGAGCTGTGCAGGTGAGCGCGGGGGAGGCTTTCCTGAAGGAGGGGCGAGGCGCCAGATCCCACATGGCTCACTCCAGCTCCAGGAGCTTGAAAAATATGCCAGCGTGTGTGCACACATGCATGCCCCAAATCCTAATGATGGAGAAACGGAGGAGAGAAATTGTGGTGTGACCACGATCCCCTGGGGAGAGGCTTTCTCTCCCCTCTCAGCACATGTATCCTCTGGCCATAAAAAGAAAGAGACTCTGTAGCCAGGAGGTGAAGTAATAGGACTGGAACTGGGCGTTAGCCTCGAGGGTCTCTGCTGGTGACCGGTGAGCTACACTGCCTCAGGAGGAGGAGGTCCCTGACCCAGCAGGGTGCCCTGGGCAGCAGCAAGGATGGGGAAAAATAAATACAATATGGACATGCCACGGTGAGTGGGGGACTCTGGGTACATGGGAGCCATGCAGCCTGGCACAGGGGGTCCCAGAAAGGCTGCATGGAAGGGTGGGCACAGGAACTGAGTCTTGCAAGACAGATGGGCAGGAGGGGCTGGCGGTCATGCCAGGCAGAAAGCACCACATGAGCTGGGGCTGGCAGATGGCGTGGTGGTTAAGGGCGCTGGACTCCTACCTGGCTGACCATGGTTCAAGTCCTGGACCTGGTGGCTTGCTCTCTCACTTTCCCTCTCTTTCTCTCTCTCTTGCTCACTCTCTCCCTCCCTGGTCAAATTAAAATAAATAAAGTTAAATAAAATAATTAAAAAAAAAAAAAGAAAGCACTACAGGAGCAAAGACTTAGAGGGATCCAACAGATGACAGGTCCACGGGTGAGGAGGGAGCACTAAGCAATGAGGCTGGGGGGAATGTGGGGTCAGGCCACAGGGGCCCTGCGAGCCATGCTGGGAGATGGGACAATGGGTTTTACCTTGCGGGAGGTGGGGAGCCTGGAGAGGTATCCCAGGGAAGTGACGCGGTTGGACATGCATTTTCTTACTTCAGGTGGAAGGGGGTGGCACTGGCGTGGTGCTGGGCCACTGGTAAGAAGGCGGATACAATGGGCCAAAGATGAGGAACACGCAAGTTAGGCGACAGCTCCCGACAGCTAGCTTCTTTTCTCCCTGCACAAGCACTGGCGTGATCGCTTTTGCATTGTGCAAAAGCTGAAGGTAGCGTTCATTTTAAGAATAAGAGAGCGAAGGGAGTCTTTTCTGAAAATTTTCCAGGGGCGCTTGCTCTTTCAGGCTGCATCACTTATTACCTAATTCTCTTTTCCATCAGAATCTCTGCGGGGGCAGTGCTGAAAAGCAGCAAATAAGAAGCTTCCACAGGATAAAGCTGGTGGCAGAAGTGCCCTGAGAACCTCACCACATGAAGTCTTTCCCCTCTCCTGTGCATCTGAGGAAATGAGAGCTGAATGCCCAAGTGGGTCTGCTACGGCAGAGCTGTTCCTCAGGACCCTGTGAACTTCAGGACAGCCAGCTCTCCAGAACTTCCCGAGACGAGAATGGAGTTCACCACTCACCTTCCTAAACTTCAACCAGACAGCGGAAGAGGAAAGACTCCACATTCTGCTAGAAGCTTAGGTGCTCCAGTATCTTCAAGTCATCCAGGCCTAGAAGAAAGCAGCAAATAGACTCATTAAATTACTCATCTATAAACTATCAATTCACACCACGTTAAGCAAAAAGCTCACATTTGTTTCATGGACAAGATGAAGTACAACTCAGAACAAAATACCACAGTGACTCACACAAAATGAATCACTTGTTTGTCGTCTTTAATGGTGTAGGGTATGTATGTTCACCAGAGACAGAGACAGAGACAGAGAGAGAAGAAAAGAGAGAAAGCATCCTCAGAGGGGACGGCCATGCCATAATCCCTTCTCCATTTTGCTCTCAGGAGTTGGGGCATGCACATACATGCACCCCACCTGTTTCTCAAGCTGCTGGGTCTGGGACTCGAACAGCACAGTTGGCCATGTGGGATCCAGCCACCTTAACTACCACTCTACCTGTTGGCCCCAAAAGCTTGTTTTTTGAGGTTTAATTTACACAGATCACAGCTCCCCTCACTCTTCACTGGCTCTAAGGTCAGTTTAAGCATCATTTAGTCTTTTTACGTGACTGGATCAAAAGATGGTTAAAAGAGGTAAGGGTATAGGCCCGTATGTGGCTTGGTCCGTGCAGATGAGACTCATTTTTATTAGACTGCTGTCTCCTCATTGGCTAGCACTTTCCAGTGAATGTGAAACAAAGGACCCCCAAAACCCATATTTGCGAGAGCAGGATTTTGGAGAGGGAAGGGATATTTCTTTTCACAGATGAAGAAGTGAGACCCAGAAGGGCTGCCCCACTCACAAACTAGCAGCCAGTCACTGGTCAGGTCAAAATTTTATCAACCAGGGCCAGCCAGAGACATAGTTGAAGTGCTGGCCTCCCATGTGGACTCCTCAGTTCGAGTCCCAGACCCAGCAGGGCCATGAGCATGTGCATGCATGCCCGAAATCCCAAGAGGAGAATGGAGGAGAGGAGATGGTGATGTGGCCATTGCCCCTAGGGGATGAGTTTACCACACAGGGAAGATCTGGGGTTCAGATCCTGAGGTGAGGATCCTGCACATGCCTGGCACAGGTGTGTCTGCGAGCATGCTGGCTATTGCTCGGAGCACGAGGACCCTGTCAGAGAGCCCTTTCTTCCTCTTTCTCTTTCTTAATAAATAAACAAACTAAATATTTTAAAAAGGAAATTCAAAAGAAGTTAATCAACTAGTGCTCTTTCTATTACATCAGACTTAATTTAGGTTCCTGATTTTGAAATAATAGCTTTTATAAAGCGAGGACATAAAACATACTAAATTCCATGTTGATCTTAAAGTTATTTTACAATCTTTCTAAATGTGGAAGTAATTTTTATTTTTGTGATGAAATTCTAATAATCAGCTCGAGTCTCCGTTTTACATGGAGAAATGAGTCCTACTAAGGTGTGACAAAAAGGATTCCTTCCAGGACCCTCCCACGTTTCAAAAAGAACCTGACTTGAACTGAACTCCAGGAAGAAATCACTGTCCCAGAGGGGCAGTTCGCCTCCTGGCTATGCAGCATCTTAGAAAAGCTTACAGTGCCTGAGCTGGTTGGGACCTTGAGCTGATGGAGTTCAAACCTCTCACTGAACTTACAGGAACTGCGGTGCAGAATCAAATGGTCAGTCACAGGGAGCCCTGGCACAGAAAACCAGAAGCAAACATATACTAACCAGCCCTGTAGCGCAGTGGTTAAGCTCCTTGCACTGGGAGCTGGATCCCATGTGGCCAACTGCGGCCTGCATGCCAGCCTCAGCAGCTTGAAAACATGCTAGATACATGCTAAAAACATGCATGCATGCATGCCCAAAACCTTGATGGGATGGAGAAATGGGAGAAAAAGGATTGTTGTGTGACCATTCCCCATTGGGGGATACTTTCTCTCCCTCATTCTTTCTCTCTGGCAAGTGCACATGTACTCGGCAATTTTTAAAAGTATTAATAAAAAAGAAAAGAATGAAAGAAATGTATAATTTTTTACATTTTTAATTTATTTTTTAGAGTTTTTTTTTTTTTGGTTTGTTTTGTTTTTTTGCTATAGGGTGCACGCACTCACCAGAAAGTCAGAGAGAGACAGAGAGACAGAAAGCGAGAAATCGACCCCCAGGGGGATGGTCATGCCGCAATTCCTCCTCCTCCATTCTCCTCTCGGCATCTTGGGCACGCATGCACACGCACCTGGCGTGAGTTTAAGCCACCAGGTCCGGGACTCAAACCGCAGTCGACTACATGGGAGTCCAATGACATAGCCATTACGTCAACTGCTGGTCCCTGAAAGAAATGTATATTAACTGAGCACCTATTGAGCGCAGCTGATTGCTGTGCTCTCTGCTTTAAAGTGAGATGATTTCATTCAGTTCTCACAAATGCCCATAAGACATGTGTGAGCACTTTTCCATTTTACGTTTGGGACACAAAGACCCAGAGAGGCTGAGTTGTTTAGTCCAACTACTATTATCTGAGCATCTGTAACATGCCAGGCACGAGGTAGGTGCAGAGTATGCAGAGGAAGAAAAAGCACACTTTCTGCCATCATCCACTTCACAACCCAGCAGGGATGAGGGACGGGTAGCCAGAGTTCTTAATTAGAACCATGCAGCTTAAACTCAGCTTGCCACCCATTAAAAGGTCATTGAGGCTCAGTTAGTGGGTCTTATCAGTGCTTAAAATAAATGAGTGTGGGCCAGCGGGTGGTGTGGTGGTTAAGGCCGTTGGATCCAACATGGCCAATTGCACTATTCCAGTCCCAGACTCCAAAGCTTGAAAACCAAGTTGGGCACTCCCATGTGGCCTACCAAGGTTGGAGTCCTAGACCTGGTGGCTTGCTTTCTCACTTTTCTTGTCTCTGTGTGTCTTTCTCTGGTCAAATTAAAATAAATGAATGAATAAATAAATTGAGTTATTCTAAAAGAAAGAAAGAAAGAAAAACAAGTTGGGTGCATGTGTTTATAAGCCTGAAATCTAGAAGGAGAACGGATTGTGGTTTGACCTTCCCTTACAGGAAGTGCTTTCTTATTTTCCCTCTCTCTAGTGCGTGCACATGCCTTCTAGCAAATTAAAGAAAAAAAATTAAAAAGATGAACACAGACATAAAGTGGGACAGAATAGCATACATAAAATAAAGACAAGGAAACTCACGTGGACATACACCTATATAAAAGGGGTCTTCAAAATTATACACACAAGGGATTGCGGCGTGGCCATCCCCCCTGGGGGGTGATTTCTCGCTTTCTGTCTCTATGTCTCTGTCTGTCTGGCGAGCGCACGTGCCCTATAGAGAAAACCTCTCAAAAAAAAATTATACACACACACACACATATATATATGTATATATAATTACTTTTTATTTAATTTCATATATTATTATTTTTTTAATTTGCTATAGGCCACATGCACTCACCAGAGTGAGATGAGAGACAGAGAAAGAGAAAAAGTAAGAAAGTAAGCCACCAGGTCCAGGATTGGAACCGTGGTCAGCCATGTGGAAGTCCAGCACCTTAACCACTGTGCCACCTGCTGGCCCCTATAAATGTATATTTTCAAGAAACTATATACAGATTTCAAATATTTTGTACACCAAAATAAACAGGCACTTTAATTCTATTTTTCAGTGAACTTTATGAAGTCCCTTCATATCTGTATTAATTACATATATGTGTGTACTGGTTTGCAATGTAAAACACATTTTCTTTTGTAGGTTATGGTGGAAAAAAGTGAAGCTCTCCAGTTACAGAACAAAGTGACAAGTGGTCTATTAGAGATTCATTCAAAACAGGGAGAGCGGAGAGGAGCGGATGTCTGCCTGGGGATTAATTAGCACCTAGCTCCAGGGTGAGCAGGGTATAATTTTGTTCCTCACCAAGGAGAAATCTCTTAAGAATGAGATGCTCAAATCTAATGCTCGGAGGTGGGAAAACCTTGAGAAGGACTGGTATGAATTTTCAGGGACAAGAGAGGAAAAGAGAGGAGTTCCCTTTTCCAGGGGCCCGGGACAGAGAAGGAGGCACCTCTCCACCATGAGGAGGCATAAGGACATCAGTTCTGGCTCACATGATAGAGTCAGGTTTGAGAAGGGGGAGCTAGCAGATAGCACAGAGGTTATGTCGCTGGAGTCCCACATAGCTGACCATGGTTTGAGTTCTGGACCTGGTGGCTTGAAACTCACACCGGGCACATGTACATGTGAGCATGCCCAAGATCCTGGGCAGAGAATGGAGGAGAAGGAATTGTGGTGTGGCCATCCCCCCTGGGGAGGTGATTTTTCACTCTTCCTCTCACTGTCTCTGTCTCTGTCTTTCTCCCTCAAGCACACCCATCCTAACGCAAAAATAAATAAATAAATAAATAGAAATTAAAAATAAAACCTCAAGAAGATGGAACTCCTCAGGACTAGCAGTTGGTGTAATGGCTGTCGCTGGACTCCCATATAGTTGACCATGGTTGAGTTCCAGTGGCTTAAACTTGTGTGTGCATGCCCAAGATCCCAAGAGGAAAATGGAAAAGAAGGGATTGCAGTGTGGCCATTTCCCCTGGGGGAGGGGGGGTGATTTCTTGCTTCCTGTCTCTTCGTCTCTCTGTTCTTCTGGCAAACGCAAGCTCCCTATAGCAAAAACCTCTCAAAAGAAGAAAGAGAAGAAGGAGAAGGAAGAGAAAGAGGAGGAAGAGGAGGAGGAGGATGAAGAGAAGGAAGAGGAGAAGGAGATAGAACCCAAATATAACCCTAATCACTAGGACTATGGAAGCTGCTGGAAGATCTACAAGCACCAGCTAGGTCTGGAAAGAATTTCCACTTCCCACTGTCTAGAAAGTGTAAGAGAACCTTGGAGTCTAGAAGGTCAGAAGGCAGGAAGCAAGACTCAAGGACCTTCAAATTATCTCTCTTTTTTTTTGAAAGAATTATTTTATTTAAATGTCTTTATTTATTTATTTATTTTTATTTGACCAGAGAGGGACAGAGTGAGAAAGAGAGAGAGAGAGAGGGAAACGAGAAAGCAAGCCACTGGGTCCAGGACTGGAACTGTGGTCAGCCATGTGGTAGTCCAGCTCCCTCAACCACCGTGCCACCCGTTGACCCTCCCTTTCAAATTATCTTAATGCTGAGATCAGAGCCTCCTTTGGGATGGCAGGTTGTTATAATCTCCCTGATCAGTCCATAATAGCTACTCAATTTTTTGTTTAATAAAACTTCCTTTGGACATATTCTGAATACTGTGTTTACAAACGGAGGATCTGTGGCAATCCACTGAACTGCCCTGTGGAGACACTTTCTCCAGTTTCCGACTGCCAATTCAAGGCAAGCTAGAAAAGACCTACCTTAGCACCCTGTGCCATTCACACTGGAAGCCTCTCTGACACGGGGTAAACAACGACTGGGCAATAATAAGTAGCTCGGGGGTAGTCAAATTCATTATGCTATTTCAATGACTTGTGTGAAAGTTGTCAGAATAAAAATGGAGTCGCTCATGTCAAATCCTGGCAAAATGGAGTCGAGGAAGGTCATGAAGGGAGTGGATGTCATGGACTTATGCCTGGTAACAAGAACTGTCACTGGTAATATGGCTGAACCATGGTCAGGCTTGTGGGAGTCCAACACCTTAACCACTGCACCACCTGCCGGCCCCCACAAATGTATATTTTGAAGAAACTATACACAAAAGATTCCAAAATCTGCAACCTCGCACCAGAACATACTCCTGCGACATGTGCTCAGACCTGCCTGTCCATCCTTAGACTGAGGTCACCCTTGTTACGATCCTTGTAGCCAAGGATAATTGTTCCAAAACAATTTATGCGATTGTGCCTTCTTTTTTCTATAAATGCTTATGTCTTCCCTTATCTGCTGAATATACCCAGGCATATTCCCATTGCAAGGCCCCCAAATACCACTTTCCTTTAGAGAGTTCCTCTGTTACTCAGATTGACATCTGGCTACTGCCTCTGTATCCGTTAGTGAGCAGTGACATGTCATGATGTCAAAGAGTAATTATTTTATCCAGTGTTTAGTCCATACTTTTCCTTATACAGATTTGTGATAACAAGAACTACATACTTGAAAATAAACAGCCCCAGAAAAATACATTTTATGTTTCTTCACCCATCACATGTTATTGAACCGATACAGATAATAAGGTTGGGTTGGGTTTTTTTTGTTTTTTTTGATTGGTTTTTGCTATAGGGTACATGTGCTCATCAGAAAGACAGAGAGACAGAAAGCAAGAAATCACCCCCAGGGGGGATAGCCATGCCGCAATCCCTTCTCCTCCATTCTCCTCTTGGGATCTTGGGCACGCACGTACATGTGCCCAGCATGAGTTTAAGCCACCAGGTCTGGGACTCAAATCGCGGCTGATTACATTGGGAGTCCATCAACATGGCCATTATGCCAACTACTGGTCCCTAAGGATTTTTTTCTTTAAAGAATTATTTATTTATTTATTTTAATTTAATGAGAAAGAAGAAGTGAGAAAGCAAGCCATCAGCCCCAGGACTTGAACCATGGTTGGCTATGTGGGTGTCCAGTGCCCTTAACTACCACGCCACCTGCCAGCCCTAATAATAAGGTCTTTAACAAATTTTCCTTCATTGTAGGTAGAGGAGAGAATGCTAGTATATATTGAAAGCAGGAGAAACAATTAGGGTGTGAGTTTTTATTCTATTAAGAAACAATGCCAGCCTGAGACCTGGCGGTTAAGGTGGCTGGTTCCCACATGGCCAACTGAACAGTCTGAATCTCGTACCCAGTGGCTTGAGAAACACACTGGACGTGTGTGTGTGTGAGTGTGTGTATGTATGTGTGTGTGTGCACCTAAAACCCTGAAAGGAGGGAAAGCTGGAAGAGAGGGGATTACAGTATGACCGTTTCCCAAAGGGGCTGCTTTCTCATTTTTTCTCTGCCTGTCTCTATCCAGCGAACACATGTGCCCTCTGGAAAAAATCGTAAGAAAGAAAAAAGAAAAGAAACAAATGAAATAATTCATATAAAGTGCTTCATGAACCAAAAGCTATTCTACAAGTGTTGATCATTTTAGCTATCAATGCTAATCAACTATCAATATTAAGTAGAAATGAAAAACATTAGTACCCACGAGAAAATGAAATTGCATTTGAAATTGCAGGTTTCTTAAATACATATTTTTTCACACATCCTTATATTATTTTAATTGTTAATAATTATTTAATTTTATGTATTATTATTCTTTTTTAATTTAACCAGAGAGACAGAGGAAAAGTATAAAAACAAGCTGCCAGGTCCAGGACTCGAACCGTGGTCAGCCATGTGGGAGTCTAGCACCTTAACCACCTTGCTCCTGCTGGCCCCATCATACATCCTTATTTTAAACCAAGGTTTAACATGTTCTAGGCTCAACATTGATAACGAGGCAGAGAGTTTAATATCTAACTATTCTTCCTAAGAGAAGTGCAGATAAACTTTGGTTAATAAATAAGTCCTATAGCTTCATCTGATGACTGAAGAAACAAACAGAGAAGCTAAATGGCTTGCCTAGGGTCATGTAGGAGAACCAGAATCGAAAACCGGATCACTGAGTGGCCTTGGCTACTCCCTGGCTTCTGCTCACTGACAATGTACCACAATGATTTGGACGGCAAGTCCATCTAACCCACCGTGCCAACAGATAGAAGTTCACTTAGCTTAGAAACTGATTTTAAAATATTTGATAAAATACACAAATTTATCAGCTTTAGCTTTTGTGTTTAAGTTTTAATCAAGTTCAGAATAGTTGGAAATTTTCTCTCCACCAGAAGGAGTCAAGATAAACCCCAGGTAAGTCCTACCAAAAAGGCAGCTGCAGCCAGCAGACTGTTCGCTGCAGAATACCTGAGTCTGGGCTCCCAGCCAGCTCTGGCAAAGGCCTGCACTGTACCTCCTGGCCTCGCTCCAGGGGAAAAGAAAGCACACCGCCAGGACACGAGCCAGAGCTATGCAATTCTAGCTCTCCGGAGTCTAACTTCGCTCCTTCTTCTGTAGCTGAATGAAAAGCTTCGCCCTTTTCTGTTTATTTGCACAGAGAGCTGTTTAACATAGGAGCACAAAGCGAGAGGGAAAAGCCACAACCATGTGGACTAGAATGATTTCCAATCACAATAAACACTCCCAAAGAGGGAGGAAGATGGTAAGCGATATATTTCCTTTCTAGCATTCTTTAAAATAAATGCACAGCCTTGGAGGAGGTAGCCGACATATTTCCACTAGACGAATAAGTGTGGAGAAAAACAGAGCTTTGTCCACTACCTGCGCCATGGCCAGGCCCAATGCCAGACCACGGTTTGGCAACCGGATCTCAAACAACTGAGTACTGGAGACTGTCTACAACACAAAATCGCCGGGGCTACTCTGGAATCCACGAGGTTTCTTTCCCTTCCACTAGCCCCTGGCAGTGAGACCAGTACCTCTGATACTTTCTGCAGAGCTTCCCGCATCCTCCAACCTGCAATGCTGGGATGATGTGGAAACCCCGTCCCCAGCAAGCCACAATTGAGAGCAAGCCAGACCTAAGTTCTTGGCCGTCTCCTGCTGCAGCCATTTTCCCTGAAGGATGTGAGTAAATGCCACAATTTTAAAGCAACATATGATTGTCGTGAAAGAATATAAAGGATCCTATTTTCTTCATCCACTTCTATGACACCATCCCTTCTAATGGCTGAATCCATGGGTCATGCTACATTACTCAACTGGAACAAGATGCAAATACATCGAGCTCCCTGGCATGAGGCACATCATGCAATAGGAAACCCTAAAACATCTTTCACTAGCAAAATGCTCAGCTCTCTCACTGTTGTCAGAAGAGGGTGTAAGAAGGTGGTCACGAAAGTTCTTTACGAGAAGAAAAACTCTCATTTTCAACACAAAAAGATGCCCCCTCCATCCACTTCCACCTGCCCATAGAAGGGCTCCCATCAGATGATTAATCCTTACAAGTCTATCAAATTCCCACCCCAAACACCTCTTCATTTGTTGATAAAAAGCTACAGTTCATGAAAGGTAAGAGGAATATATGGCAGTTTTATTGGGGGGTGGGAGGTATTCTATTATCACTGCTGCCTCTAGAATCGTGCAGTGCATGAGGCCACGCGAGGCGGTGCTGGTTATGCTCCCAACATCAGAGCACACATGTCACACATGCATTAGTATGTTACACACAGCATGAACATGCTATGCCCGTGATACAGCCTACATCAATCAACTGTTTGGCATGCCCATGCTTCAGGTCAGTCGACTCTTATCACTGAGTTCCATTCTTCTAAACAAACGCCGATCAGTTAACTCTGTCTAGTACCTAAGTGTTAGGAGCTTGTCATCTCTGAGTATGAATCTACTTGAAAGTCAAACTTACTTTCACTTGAGACAACAATGGTCTTCGATTTCCTTCACTGGTCACTAAAAATTGGTGCTGGACTCCGATTCAACCTTACACACATCTTTCAAATCTGTACTCTCCGGAGCCTGCTCATTATCTCTACCAAACCTTTCTTCCAACTTGTAAGTTTCTCCCATGCCAATTTGCCACATCACGGCCAGGATTATTTCCTGAAACACAGATAGGCTTAGGTCACTCTTCCACTTTAGAACACTTGATGACTCTGTATTGCCAAGGATATAAGTCAAAGCAAGTGGCTGTGATACGTGATTTGTTTACAGTCCAATCAGCTCATCGGTCTGAGTTGAAATGACTTCCCATACCAGTCACCATCCCTTCAGGCACTCATTCCATGAATTGGGCCCTCGCAAAAACACAACGGGATTCAGAAACACTGAACGGTTGGAGGAGTCATTTCCAGATCTCAGGTGCAAACATCTGACAGGTGATACGAACATCTAAATAATAATTGTGATTAGTAGTGAGGATGCCATGTGGCCCTAGTCCCGCTCCCAGCCTTATCTCCAGTCCAGCCCATTCCTCTATTTTACCTATACTTCAGCCATACTGGACTTTCATTATCTACCAGTGAGTCAGGCTCTTTGGTACCCATGTACCCTTACTTCATCTTCGGTGCCTCGAATGCCCTTCTGTGTACCAATGTCTGGTGTTTTCACCCGTCACCCTGCTAATATCCCCCTCTGGAAGGCCTTCCGGGCATGATTCTTTGTCCTTTTTAGGGTAGCTGCAGTTCCTATGTACATTCCACTCTAGCAAACTCTTAACACTGTGCTGCAAGTATTTGTTGAAGACTCTGTGTATGGTAACTTCTTTGACTGGACTAACACACAGGGTATTCATGCTGGGAAATTTCATTTTCAATTTTATAAAGATATATAGCGATTGAATGTGAAAAATCAGGTAAATACATAAATACTAAATGTCTGTACTTCCCACTACATTAAGGACACCTCTGTATTTGAATTAGTTATGACTTCTTCAGGTCCTCCTGCTGCCCACACAGGCACGTTAGCACTAAATGGCAGAGAGGTAAAGATCAGCAGGAGGAAATGAGGCTCCCAGAGCAGGGCCAGGAGACACGGGGCATACTAAACAGTCACTTCTTTCGTGCTGACCAAGCCACATCTCACCCCTGTGAACTCGATCCCCCTCAAGTGTGGGGGAAGATGGTCTCTGGGTGGCCAATCTTAGCCCAGACTCACAACAGGGAAACGAAGCATGGCAACGAGGCAACAGGGTGGTGGCGTGCTCTCTCTAAAGTGAATTTTTTAGGGTGCCCTGCACGGCAAAAGATCCCCTACAGCTCCGTGCACTCTCTCCTGCTCCTCTAGAGTTTGGTAAAGAGGTATCTGGGCCCCAGAAGTGGCTTCTGGAGGTGTGTCTCACTGCACCTGGGTTCGATATGTGAAAGCCACTGGATTAACTACTGGAGAAAAAAATGAAATTAAGTGCAAATGACTTTCCTTTCTTTCTTCCTTTTTAAACAGAGAGAAAATTATCTGTATGACTGACAGACATCATTTTTATATACCCAAACACATTATTAAATAGTCTATTTAAGAAGTCCATTTCAACCAAAAGAAACTAATTTTACAGCCATTCATCTGGTCTTCATTTATCCAGCAAAAGAAGTTAAGATGTGAAGGCTGCCCTCAAGAAATTCGCAATGTCGTGGTGACATTTTCATGACCTGATAGCCCCGCCATTTCCTCCAAAGCGAAACATTCCAATCCACGGGTACTTATTATGGAGGCACGCAAACAAATGAAATATAAAAATAAATATTAATTTTCTGAATGATAATAGGCTAAAATAATTCCCTCTAGGCTAAAACTTGGTGATTTTCCCAAGACAAATGACTGAGCCAAAGCCCCAAAGACAGAGGAAGGCGAGAGCACACACATGTCTGCAGATTAGCACTTGGTGATTTTCCCAAGACAAATGACTGAAAGCCAAAGCCCCAAAGACAGAGAAAGGCGAGAGCACACATGTCTGTAGATTAGCGTCTGCAGGTCAGTCTTCTCCAGGAGAGGAGGACGGACATGGATACGGACGTTCGTCACCACTGTGGCCGCCATCCAGGTGAACCCATAGCTGTAGGGCTGGTGGAAATACCATTGCCCACCCTGGCCAGGCATAATGGGAGGGAGGTCCGGTGCCTTCCTCAAGCTCAGATCCACCCATTCCTTGTCCTATGACTGTGGGTTCCCAGGAGGCTTGGCCTCCTCCTTCATGGACACTGGGGAGAAGACCCCCATGCCTGCCAGCCCACGGCCTGCTCCTTCACTAGGCTCACTGACTGCCACACTGAGCCCCCTGACCCAAGCACAGCCTGTGGCCTTGTCCTCTGCTGGAAATGGCCTGCTGTGTCCGTCCTCAGACAGGCTCTAGGAAACCAGGTATCACTTCACATCCCCCTTTCACTAACGCCATCCTCTCTGCTCTGGAAGATGTTCGTGGGACCTGCACCTTAGCCAGGGTTTGTCCTGTAGCCTTCCAACCTCTTCAGGCAGACCTCACCAAATCCATCTGAAGGGTCATGTCTTCATTGTACGACCCAGAAAGCTGAAGTTCAGGGTGGCTTACCCAAAAGACATTCAGCCAGTAACAGCCATTCCAGTTAAGTCGGGAAGGAAAACAAAGCTACGCTGCCAGCATTCGGGAAAGCACATTCCAGGCCAGCGGTTTCCACTCCCGGCCCCTCCCGGCCCAGCAAACGTCCACACGCGCTCCGAGGAATGGGAACCGCAATTGCAGAATCTGAAACAAAATTGGCTTCCTGTTCCTTTTACTGGACAAAGTAAACAGCAGCACTTTTGAAATCACTTTGTAAAATTAGCTTCACAGAGAAAAGGAACACAGCCTAATGAAGTCTGGCTGGGGGAAAAGAACTTTCAAAGCTACGAATCTGCACATCCCACCACCACAGCCTTGCAAATGGAATACAGTTTTTACCCAAAGAGCAACTTTGCTTGCAGAGACAACTCTGCAGAGTCCTTGCAAAGGGAGGACGTGAGAACTGAGGCGCAAGCGTCAGCACAAGTCGCAGCTTCTAAAGGAGTTAATCACCGATTCCGTAAACTCTGCCCTTCCAGCTCAGCGCTGGGTTCCCAGCCGAGGCCGAGCCCATATCCCACTGCAACTCCCCCAAACCACACATCTCTCCCACTGTCCTCAGTCATTTACCTACCGCCTAAGCTAAGCCAGGGCCACTTACAAAAGGCTTGTGTTTAACTTGATTCTGTTTCATGCCAATGCTTTCTTCCAGCTAGCTGGTCTGTACATAATTAAAATCATATTGCAGCAAATGCTGAATGGTATGAAAAGTTTTACCAGATGTATACAATTGACTAGCTGTAGAATTTGGCATGTCTGCAATGATCCCATTAAAGAGGGCTGAGCCTGGCTGATTTTGGAGCGTACGTTATATGCTTTGGACCCACTCTGGTTTTTACTTGTATTAACACCGTCCACAATGCTTAACTCTTTGTCAGCAGTCACCAAGTTGTGTTCCCGCACTTCAGTGAAGGCCACTGCACCGCAATCGAAACTCAAGTCAAAAATGATGTGTAGAGGAGCTGGACGGTGGTGCACAGCACTCGGTGAGGCTGACCCCATGGGAGAGTTCTGGGATCACATCTGGAGACCTCCCTGAGTACGTGAGAAATGTGCACGCCTATGTTCTGGGGCTGACTGAAGCTCAGGGTAGATTGTGGTGTCAAGACCCTGTTGAGAGTGCTGTCTCTCTTTCTCTCTCACTAATTTAAAAGAGAACCCAAGCCATTTATCTAGTGGAGGAAGTCTCTTTAGAAAAATGTCCATTTTCTGAACCAAGATCACCTTCTTGGTCTTGGCAAAGACTGAGCAGATCCGATCAGAGCCCCCAGGAGTAGGCTGAGCTGAAGAGAGGAACTACAGATGTAGTTATCACTCCCAAAGGCCATGCTGGAAGCTTGAAGGAGGTAATTTTAGGACACAAAGAGTGCACTACTATAGATAATAAAACTTTGAAACTCCTAAGAGGCAGCAGATAAAACAGAAGGAGATCCTAGAAGGAGCTAGCAAGGGTCATGCTGACAGATCCTCCTCTGAGGAACATTCCTGACATTCTGAGATGGAAATGATGGAGGGGAACCTGCCATTTCACCTCACTGTCCTCCCTACCCACCCGCCTTCCAGGTCAGGTAGGCCTGTGGTCTGGCTCTCTGGGCTACTCTGCTCATGTTATTATTGTAGAGAGCAGAGACGTACAGTTGCAATTTTGCTTTAAAGACATTCTTCAACATAGATTTCAGAATGAGTTGAAGTCTCTCTCAACATGTGACATAGAGAAACATATGTTCTTAATTGTGGGTTCGAATTGTTTTAGAATTACATCAATGAGACATATCCTCAAAAGGAAAATCAGGCCACTACCCCCAAACACAAGAGCAAAAGCGCAGTGTGGGATACTACCACTTTCTAACTGAGCCGTATGACAAATCGTTGTTTAAAAAAAAAAAAAAAAAAACCTTTAAAAGGGGACTTTCATCTGGAGGGGAAAAAAAGTAAAAAAAAATAGAAAATGAAGTTTTGGAAACTGTAGGGTATTCATTTCATGCTAGAGGCAAGGATCCTGATCAGAGGAGAGATTGAAAGCCAAGGTACCCAGTGCCCCCAGGAAAGGAAGTCAACAAAAGACGCACCCTTATTTGGTTTATCAGATAAAGTTCCAAAACCAGAACTCAAATACTGGGTTTTCTGTACTGGATCACACGGCAGACGATGTTAAGAGTAGGAAATTACCAAATGAACCTAACAAATTTATCCTTCAAGAGGGGACAAGGGGCCGGATGGTGGAACAGCAGTAGAAACACGATGTGCTGAGAGGCTGGCCATACAGGAAAGCCCCTGGTCTGTGCCTGGAGCCCTTCCTGATACACTGGGCCCACGAGTGCCCAGGACGTAGGGCTGGCTGAAACTTAGGAGGATAGCGGCAATAAGACCCTGTTGGGGGTAAGGGAGCGGTTTGAATCCTGGACCTGGTGGCTGGCTTTCTCCCTTCCCCTTTCTCTCTCTGTCTCTCTCTGGTCAAATTGAAAAATAATAATAATAAAAGGAATTAAATAAATGAATAGTTCTTTAAAAAAAATAAAAGACCCTATTGGGGATGATGTCTTTGTCTCTCTTGCTCATTAAAAAAAATACATAAGTAAACTTTTTTTAAAAAAAGAGGGAGAAGTAATGTGAAGTATTTAAAAACAGTTTTAAGGACAAAAGCTTCATATTTAAAGCTTGGGTACATAGTAAAAAATTTAGAAAGCATGATAGTTTATCAGTGAAGTAAAAGAGCAAATAGAAAAAAAGGAAGTAGGAAGCTGTTGTAGTAGGAATAATGAACTGAACTTAGGGGAAAGATAAGCCGGTTATAAAAAGGGATAGCTACATGGAAAGGAGGGTTTCGGGTTGTAAGTAAGATGGTAAGTAAGGGCTGTCTGACGATGTCGATGCTATCTAAGAAGGCTTTCGCCAGGATTATGGTTTTTTTGTTGTTTCTTTTGTTGTTATTTTTTTGAAGAATTATTTTATTTAACTTTATTTATTTATTTTTATTTTACCAGAGGTGGAGCAGGTAAGAAACAGAGAGAGAAAATGAGAAAGCAAGTCACCAGGTCTGGGACTTGAACCATGGTCGGCCATGTGGGAATCCATAGCCTTTAATCACCATGCCACCTGCTGGCCCTCATTGTTATTTTTAATACAGCATAATGAAACAAGCAGGACAGTACTAGTGTCCCTAGTTTGCAGACGAGGAGACTGAGGCTCAGAATAGACTCTCGTACCCAAGGTCACAAACTAACCACTAGTGATTTCTTCAATGCTGAGTCCTGTGCTCTTTTCCTTTTCCTTATTATTATTTTTCTTTAAAGTTTATTTATTTATTCATGGGGAGTAGAGGGTTCTGATGCTGTGATTCGCCACCAGCCTCAGCCACCCCAGAGTACTCAGGGAGGTTTCTGGACATGAACTGGCAATATCCCACGGGGTCTGTTTGCAGAGTATCATGTTTTACCGCTCTGCCACCAGTAGGCTCCACTGTGGTTTTGTGTTGTTGTTTTTCTTTCTTTCTTTTAGGTTTTTGCCATAAGACATGTGCACTCATCAGAGAGATATAGGGGGAGGCAGAGAAAGGGAAAGTGAGACATAACCACCTGGAACGGAGCGGGGGGGGAATGGCCAAGATGCAATCTCTTCTCCTCCATTCTCCTGGGATTTGGAGCATGCAAGTACAAGTGCCTGGTGTGATTTTCAAGCTGCCAGGTATGGGACTCGAACCATGGCTAGCCATGTTGGAATTCATCACTTTAACCACCACTCCTCCTGCTGCCCCCCCACTGTGCTCTTTTTACATTAGAATGTAGACAAACGGTTTAAACCCTACATCTGTTATATAAAGTAAATGGGGGCCAGCTGGTGGCTTGGTGGCTAAGGTGTCTGGACTCCACAGGGCCAACTGTGCAGTTCAAGTCCAAGATCCAGCAGCTTGAAAAACATGCCAGGCACATGTACATGTGTGCCCAAATCTGAAAAGAAGGAGAAGGGATTGCAGTGTGACTATGCCCCATAGGGGTGCACTCTCACTCTCTCTCTGGTGAACTCATGCATGCTCTAGAAAATATAAATAAAAGGGTTCTGAATGTCCTATTCCTCTTCAGAAGCTATATTAATAATTAAACCAATAGAAGAGAAGTATCTAATTTAGATTATTTATCAGATGATTTCTGAAATGATACCATAATTCCCCTCCCTCCATTCAGTATCTAAGTAGTAATAAAAGTTAGCTGTAAATGGCAGGGCCTTTCAGGAGACTGGAGTGAAATGTTCTATTATTTCAGGTTTTTTGTTTTGTTTTGTTTTGCTTTGTTTTTAAACTAAAGATAAAACAGAAGAATGCCCTATTCCATTTGGGGACCTGCCACTGGGACCAGAGGTATAAGAGGCAAACCAAGCTGTCTGTGGCATCAGATAAAGTTACTTTTCTAGCTAGGAAACCAGATGGTAAGAACAATGGATACAAAATAAATTGTATAGAAGAAACAAATATAGAGTTTATCACAATCTGGGCTGGAAAAGTTGAATGGACTTGGAAACCTGAGTGTCTGCAGGCAGGTGCATTGACCAACTCTAGGTAGCTAGCCTGAGTACTCAGTTACTCCCTTTCCTTAGCTGAGCCCCTGATCTTCTTTCTCCTGCTCTGGGTGGGATTTTACGCCATGTATGTTAACTGGTTTAGAGATGAAAGCTCACTGCAAACCATCCCCTTATTTGTTCAATATGATTTAGGACTTCTTCCCTTGGCCTAATAAAATGTGATATTTCAATCTTGGATGTTTCCTCATAACTACCAAATACGAACATTTCTCTAATTTGGCCTCTAAGTCCAACTTAAGCGTGTCTGCTCTTTCGCCTCTATGGAGTAGAATTGGATAACAACAGATCTATTTTCTAGCTCCACTTAATTTAGAAAACAAGAGAATGAAAAGCTTAAATCGAACTAAGAAAACAGTAACTTAGAAATAAGAACTACTCTCAGACTAGCCCAGAGGCCCCAGTCTCTACAACCATGCACATCCTGATACAGAAACATAAGATGCTTTAGCCTAAATAACTCCTCTGTATTATCCCAAAACAGTGTCCATCATATTGGATCCATTGTTTTCTAAGGCCTGAAAAACTG